GTTTGACTCTGATCTTCTTCTGAGTAATGCCTCTAATTCTTTGTCTTCGAATTTTTTTGGCTGTCCAGAGCGAGGCTTGTCTTCAACTCTGAAATCTCCATCCTTGAAACGTCGAAACCATTCCCTACATGATTTATCAATTGGAGCAGTGTCATCATAAACATCGATAAGCATTAGATGGATATACTCCCAGTATTAATTTTCATTTTAATTATCCTAATTCTCAAAAAAATTATAATGAGATTACTAGATAAAGTTATGTTTTTATCTTTCCTGAATTCCATGAATAAAATTTCAAATTAATAATTTATTGTTGATGAATGATTATTCTTTACATCTTATTTTCAAAACAATTGAGAAAAGAATTTTAATTAATTTACAAAAGTACAATCCTAGTGCCAATTATTATAAAAAAACCACTCCGATGTCTGGAAAAAATTTTTTTATTCTGCCTTTTATACCTGGTCTTTCGAACAAATTAATAAAATTTCTGGAGAATTTTGTAAAAAATAGCTTATTTCGATATGGATAAATTGAATAGATACATCAAATCACAAAAAAGTAGACTTCCTCCCTTATCTTAGGCAGGGGTGCAGGTGTATCAAATTAATTGTAGTAAGTGCAATGCGTCATATGTGAGACAAACTCGCAGATTATTGAATTAAAATCTCGGAACACAGGAACCATATAAATAGGAACACAAATCAATAATGATTCCAGACCATAGACTTGCTCACATGATTTTGATTGATATATCTTGAACAAGGAAAAAAATTATAATAGACACTTAATTTTGGAAGCGATTCATATCAAGAAACAAATTAACATGCTAAATCTACAAATACATAGAATCAGACACCCTTTGACACCCGTTATTATTGTCATGAAAAATTATGTTGCTTCTTGACCTATCATTAGTATAAGAACATTTATTATTTTTTCGTCATTATTATTGTACTAATTTTCAACACACACAGTTACACACAGAATTTTTATTTTGCATTAATATACTTGTCATTTGACACAACATTAAATCTCTCCGTATTATTCTCACATAAGTTTAAGCTATTGTACAATCATAGAAGACTGGTCCCTTCCAATCCCACCACATTGACAGCATTACCTTCTTTTGGTGGATCTCCGCTTTTGCTTGCCTTTCCAATGCTTCATTTCGTCTACTCCAACTTCTTTTTCGGCTGACATTATTGTATTAGATGTACAACTTTGCTTCCGCCATTTTTTTTCCGAAATTCGAGGCTTTATTGTAAAAAACTGGTTATACATTTATGATTCAAAGTATTGTCCATCGCTGACCACTACTTTCTCCCATTTTTCGGATAGCGTACGAATCCCGCGTCGAAAAAACTGATCATCTTTTGAGGCTATCCACGAATCGATCCAATTTTTTATAAGACCGGAAGTGCTGGTCAGCCAGACCGTGTGCCATTGATCGAAACAAGTGATAGTCAGAAGGAGCAACGTCTGGAGAATACGGCGGGTGGGGTAGAACTTCCCATTTCAACGTTTCCAAGTATGTCTTGACCACTTTCGCAACATGGGGTCGAGCATTGTCATGCTGCAAAATCACTTTATCGTGTCTCTCGTTGTATTGCAGCCGTTTGTCTTTCAATGCTCGGCTTAAACGCATCAATTGCGTTCGATACCGATCGCCTGTGATTGTTTCAGTCGGTTTTAACAGTTCATAATACACTACGCCGAGCTGG